TTAATAAATATTTAATATCGATTTCCAGGATGACTAATCGTATCAAAAAAGTCCCTAAAAAAAAAAAAAAAAGTATTTTGTCACCAAAAGCTAAGGAAATCTGTTTTCATTCATTGGTAATGGAGAGTTCTAACTGGATTGTCTAATTAATTTAGGTTTTTCATTTAATTCTCTAACTTACTACAAATTACAGACCCTTTAACTTAATTAATATACCCTAAATTTCTGTGCTAATTTTTAAATTACTAAATTGCCATTGTGACTCCTTCAATCACATGTATTGTGTAACTGCAGGTATCACATTGCTGGAACACTGTCCATGACTGACCCTGTACTTCTTTCCTTATATATGATAGTGGTCAAACGTAGCCTAGGACGTAACACGCTGCACATTGCTATACTGATTTTATTTCTGGAGAAAGAAGTAGAACATGAGCCAAGCTATATAATCTCAATGAAGATAGAAACTACTCCTCCTCTTGCTGCAAAGGCTACCTTTGAATACTTCTGCAAGAGCCTGAGTGAGCGTGTCTCTCTGGTCAGATCTAACTTCAGACTTAAATGATAATAAAGCAGAGGGTTAGTTCTCATCTCTCTGCTCTCTAATTGGTGGCAAATTAATACTTGCCATCTTAAGATGACTGCTCGAATCCCGTGCTATCAGGGCAAATACAGAGAACTATTCCTTACTATGACAGTGACATGGTTTTGTTCCCCCAACCAGTAGCAACCTCAAGAGACTATAGGCATGTTGCCTCATTTCTCCTAGAAGGAACAGCTCTGTAAAATCTTCCCTCATCAGTCTATCAACATCCATCCACCAGAACATCAATAATACTTCAGCTGCATTTGGGTCTCCCCTAAGAGAATGCATTCCCTAGTGGGGAAGACAATGTCTTAATTTTCTCAAGTCTGTCTTGCTTTGTTCTATGGCTATACTGGGTTTAATGAGAAAAAGAATCTTTATGCCAAAGCTGAAATTGCTGCTTTAGAAGTATCCCCCAGAATGAAAATGACCCATATTTAACCACCCTATCCAGGTTAGGGATATAACTAGGTTTCACTATGATGACAGAGCCATTTCTCAACCAGATACCATGGGAAAATCTTGTAGCAGCAGTTTGGTGAGCTTCTATTTCTCAGATTCACAGGTGTTCACACCCCTAACCACTGCTCTCTTGTATATGAGATTTACAATTAAAGAACAGGCAGCATCAAGCTGACAGTTCCTGCCTCATTGCTGTGGCTTCATTGACTCAGTCCTTCATCTGAGTGGGAAATTGTTTATCCCCATTGTTTTCTGCAGTCTGTTCTCAGGTTTCAAATCTCACTCACAGAACAAACCTTCTCCAATCTGGCTAGAAAATGCCTGGGGATTTACTGCCAACCTTTCCTCACTCCCTGGCTTCCAATAAACTGCACATTTCCTTTGGGAGGCTAGACAACATTTTTGGCTTGAACTCCTGCTGACATCTGTTCCTGCCTTATAGGCCTACCTTCTAGAACATGTTTCTATTCTCCCCTGATCTTGAACCCCATTTCTGTAGATTCTCATGAAATGAATGAATGGATGATCTCTGACTCATTTATTGTATCTCTAGGCTCCTGTGTCACATGTCACCTGCTCCTACCTGTCCCTCCTCCTCCCACTACATCCAGGTCAGATATTCCTTTGGTTGCCTATGTGGTTTCAGAACATAGTTTCATAACTTACCATTTCATTGTAAGACTCCAAGGCATACTTGATTTAAAATTATTTCAGCTCCACACTCCACTCTGAGCCCTCTCCAAGGATGTCTCCCACAAATACCTTTTTTTTTTTAAAAAAAAGAACTTTTCTTGTCTGTCTTAACTATAACTACATCACTATTTTATTTATAAACAAGTAATTTTTAAATTCATTATAGCAGAACTCAAAACGTGGCTAAACCAACAATGGAGGAAGGTAAGAACGCAAACTTTAGCGCAAATCCTGGCCCTGATGTTTATCAATATGGTGGTACTGGGCAAGTCATCAAAGTATGCTGCAATATCACACCACGTAGGGTTGTTATGAGAAGAACATACTTGCAAAGTGCTTTGCAGCGCCTCACAAACATTAAGCCCTCATAAATGGTACTTATCTGGATTGCTTTTAAAATCTCCAGTAGTTGTATGATGTGTTAAGGATGTATGCTGAAAACCTCGAAGAATAATAAAGGACTTATAATATTTTCTGTGTAGCTATTTAGGTTTTGAGAAATAGATTAAAACCTCTGACTCTAACCTCATGCTTAGCATAAACCTACTGGATAGAAAAATGTATTTATTTATTTTTTGAAGGTTTTTTCCATAGTGTGTGTGTGTGTTTGTGTGTGTGTGCGTGTGCTCAAGTGCTGGAGAGACAGAGAGAGGGAAAGTGAGAAATAACGCGCTGGGGGAATGGCCATGCTGCAGTCCCTTCCTTTCATTATGTTCCTGGGATTTGGGGCACGCATGGACACATGCCCAGTGTGAGTTTCAAGCCAGCAGATCCAGGACTCGAACCATGGTCCACCACATGGGAGTCCAGCACTCTAACCATTATGTCACCTGCTGGCCCTAGAAAAATCACTTTTTAATCCATGATAAATATTATATCAAAGGGTCCTTACAGACTAAAGAGTAGTTACATTTGTTTTGTTTTGCTACTGAGTTGCTGGGCAGTTTTCTCCCCTCCTCCCTTTCACACATACAAATACACCACAGGTTCCTTAGTGAAAGCTCTCTCAAAAATAGCTTTTGTGTCCACACTGTTGTTTAAATTAACTGCTGTATTTGTGTATGAATTTAGCTGTAAGATGCTATCAAGGTGTAGTTCTTCAGATTCAGATGCAGACATCTTGGGTTCCAGTATTGGGGAGAAGTAAAGGGAACCAGTCTTGGTAGAACTGACCTGCCTACACATTGACATAGTGGAAGCCTCTCATCACAGTGTCCCCTAAACATAAAATGACATAAAACAGCCATTACATCTTCACCCACAGAGGTGGTCAGCCCCATGGCAACCAGTTGAGCTGGATGAGCATTTCAAGCAGAAATTCCAGGAGGTTTCTAGAAGTGCTCAAGAGTCAGGCAATTAGTGGAGAAGTTGGGAGGAGATAGGAGATACAGCTATACCGGCAGAATTTCCATGCACAGATGGTGTATGCCAGACCAGGATAGACTCCAGCTCCCAGGGAAGAGCTCTGAAAATAGCTGGGCAGTGTCTGAGACCATGCTAGATCTGGCATGAAACCTTGTTTGCAATAGGAAGTAGTGGATAGACATATGGAGCACAGGTCAGGCTACAGATGGGAGAACAGACAGAGCATGTTTCTAACCACAGACCAGATTCAGGGAGGGAATACCATACCTTTAGAGTGTCGTGACTTGCCATGCACCAGGTCCTGATACTAGGAATAAAACAGTCTGTCTCTTAGTTGTTTTTAATCTAGAACAATTACATTTTTTTTTTAAACACTGACTTGAGATAGGGCCAGGCATCCTGCAGAAAATCTTACCTTCTGTATTTGTCTGGTCACTTTCCTGTACTGGCATTCAGTATGTTACTCTATCCCTTGGGTTTCCTTTGAAGCAGAAACTCATCATCTTTGGTAAGAATGCATTTTGTTGATGTGTCTTCACATGGCCCTGCATTGGTGTGATAACCTGATGCAGTTAACATTTGTCCACTTGCCAGTAGGGAGTAATCTGTGCTGTTAACAGCGACATTGTATGAACATCCCACATTCCAAGATCTTGAGAGAATGGAAGAGAAAGGGTTAGGGGGTGGTCTTCCCCTCTCCAGGCGTGATTTCTCACTCTTTCTCTCTTTCTATTTGTCTCTCTCTGGTGAGCATACACACCCTATTGCAAAATTAAAAAAAAAAAAAAATCAAATTCCTTATCAACAGTTCTCCTGCTGCTCTTAGCACTAAGCAACAACTCTTGACTAAAGAAATAATTATAGTAGGAATATGAAATTATGTTTTCTAAATCTGTAATTTCTTTTACATTCATTAGCTGACATTTCTGTGAAGTAGAGATTACCTTCATATAGTGGGACGATTAGGTTACTAAATAATATTTCCTTAGTTCAAAGTGAGGAACTGTTTAATATCTGCCTCCAATAAGAAGTTGAAAGGATTTAATCATTGTTTAAAAAAAGCTATGGATGGAGCTGGCAGATGGTTTGTTGGTTATGGTGTTGGACTCCCACATGGCTGACTGTGGTTTGAGTCCCAGACATGGCTGTTTGCTTTCCCCCTCTCTCTCTCTCTGGTCACATTAAAAAGTAATAATAATAAATAAAATCATTCTTAAGAAAAAAAAAGTTATAGTCACTGCAAATATGACTTTTTTTTTTTTTTTCTTAGCATAGCCATTGTGGGCATGGCTGGGACTAGGTCCCTGGTCCTGAGTCCCTAGTCCTGAGGTGGGTGGGTGTCTTGAAACCAAAAACAAGACTGATCTTCTAAGCAAAGGCCCATGGAAGGTCCTGCCTACATCTACATCATGAGCTAGAGAAGGTCACCAGTTTCCCTTGCCTTTTACTGGGCCAGTGGTCAGAAGTGGGCTATGAGAGAGTATGGGCCATACTAGGGTCAGGGCCCAGCCAGGACTGCCCTTCTCAGCAGTGGCAGTGCCTCACCTTTTCTGGAAGAACTTTGCAATGTGAGGGCTTTACATAATCTAATACTTACAGCAGTACAGTGTGGTTTTAGATAAAGACAAAGAGAACCCAAGTGGTTCAATAACTTTATATGGTCACTCTTTTGGGAGGTCACAGAACTGAGATTCAAACTCAGATCAGCTGGAATCTAAAATCTATATTTAAGTCTTTTTATACATTTTGTTTAATTTACTTTAATACCAAGTTCTATTTGTAATACTGATTGAAATGTTTCCCAGTTCATAAACACTAAAATAGGAAATGATGCTTAATAATTCTTATGAGATCTTTTCCCTCTCTCATTTTTCTTTTTTAATATTTTTGACAGTGTGAAGAAAACACAAACCTTCAGGATACTACTCGCTACCTCAAGCTTCCCTTTTCAAAGGGCATTTTCCTTGGGAATAATAATCAAGCCATGAAGGCCACAAAGGAATCCTTTTGGATCACATCTTTTCTCTGTTCTACAAAACTCACACAAAATGGTAATGTATACCACTGTTGTATTTGAAAGCCCTTATATCTGGCTACTTATGTGAATTTTGGTAGGCATATTTAGTAAACACCAAAGTTAAATTTAAGAACTTTGTATAGAAGAATTACTGATCTTTCTATTTGTGACTTCTATAAAAGAGAAGCAGTTGTGACCTCGTGGTCTTTGGGATGCATGTAATTTGAGAAGGACTTTGAAATTATCCCAGTATTGGAATCCAAACACAAAACTCTTCAAATAAACCACTGAAACTCAGCTACTTTAAAAAGAAAGAGAGAGAGAAAGAGAGAGAGAGCAAGACAGAAAATACCATTACCTTAATTTCTTGTTTTATAGCTCCATAAACAGTGCTAATTGCAAGCTGTATAATAAAGGCTTTTTTTTTTGTTTAATTAGATGGATATTGCTTTTCTGTTCTAGCGTTAACTTTTTATGTCAGTGATTGTTTAGCAAGTTATGATTAATAAAGCAAGCTCTTCTCAGCAAATTGTCATGAAAACATTGTCTGTAATGAAAGATGTAAATCAAACATTTTTGAGTTCTTCATGGTTGCCACATATGGCTTTTGACTAGCATCCTCAATGCCGTATTATTAAGGTAGATCCATTATGTTGAGGACAATAGCTTCATAATAGGTACTGTATCTCATAAAATGCTCCAGTGCCTAAACATTTATTAATGTTATTAGTTCATTTTTCTGTTTATCGAACAGCATTTGTCGAAGAAAATATATTTCTTCTTTCGAACATCATATCAGAAAAGCAAAATGTAGCACTACAATAGTGAGCACTCCTTACATACCTTTAGATTTCAGCATGTAATTCTGTGTGTCTGTGTGTGTGTGTGTGTGTATACATATATACATCAGTCAAGTTTTAACAGATGTCATCAGTATCCAGTTGTTAATGATTTTACTTAAAACCCTATGAGAGAGTATGGGCCATACTAGGGTCAGGGCCCAGCCAGGACTGCCCTTCTCAGCAGTGGCAGTGCCTCACCTTTTCTGGAAGAACTTTGCAATGTGAGGGCTTTACATAATCTAATACTTACAGCAGTACAGTGTGGTTTTAGATAAAGACAAAGAGAACCCAAGTGGTTCAATAACTTTATATGGTCACTCTTTTGGGAGGTCACAGAACTGAGATTCAAACTCAGATCAGCTGGAATCTAAAATCTATATTTAAGTCTTTTTATACATTTTGTTTAATTTACTTTAATACCAAGTTCTATTTGTAATACTGATTGAAATGTTTCCCAGTTCATAAACACTAAAATAGGAAATGATGCTTAATAATTCTTATGAGATCTTTTCCCTCTCTCATTTTTCTTTTTTAATATTTTTGACAGTGTGAAGAAAACACAAACCTTCAGGATACTACTCGCTACCTCAAGCTTCCCTTTTCAAAGGGCATTTTCCTTGGGAATAATAATCAAGCCATGAAGGCCACAAAGGAATCCTTTTGGATCACATCTTTTCTCTGTTCTACAAAACTCACACAAAATGGTAATGTATACCACTGTTGTATTTGAAAGCCCTTATATCTGGCTACTTATGTGAATTTTGGTAGGCATATTTAGTAAACACCAAAGTTAAATTTAAGAACTTTGTATAGAAGAATTACTGATCTTTCTATTTGTGACTTCTATAAAAGAGAAGCAGTTGTGACCTCGTGGTCTTTGGGATGCATGTAATTTGAGAAGGACTTTGAAATTATCCCAGTATTGGAATCCAAACACAAAACTCTTCAAATAAACCACTGAAACTCAGCTACTTTAAAAAGAAAGAGAGAGAGAAAGAGAGAGAGAGCAAGACAGAAAATACCATTACCTTAATTTCTTGTTTTATAGCTCCATAAACAGTGCTAATTGCAAGCTGTATAATAAAGGCTTTTTTTTTTGTTTAATTAGATGGATATTGCTTTTCTGTTCTAGCGTTAACTTTTTATGTCAGTGATTGTTTAGCAAGTTATGATTAATAAAGCAAGCTCTTCTCAGCAAATTGTCATGAAAACATTGTCTGTAATGAAAGATGTAAATCAAACATTTTTGAGTTCTTCATGGTTGCCACATATGGCTTTTGACTAGCATCCTCAATGCCGTATTATTAAGGTAGATCCATTATGTTGAGGACAATAGCTTCATAATAGGTACTGTATCTCATAAAATGCTCCAGTGCCTAAACATTTATTAATGTTATTAGTTCATTTTTCTGTTTATCGAACAGCATTTGTCGAAGAAAATATATTTCTTCTTTCGAACATCATATCAGAAAAGCAAAATGTAGCACTACAATAGTGAGCACTCCTTACATACCTTTAGATTTCAGCATGTAATTCTGTGTGTCTGTGTGTGTGTGTGTGTGTATACATATATACATCAGTCAAGTTTTAACAGATGTCATCAGTATCCAGTTGTTAATGATTTTACTTAAAACCTTCATTGATAGAACTCAGTAAATTATTATAAAGAAATTACCTAACCTCAGATATTTTTCATGAGGTCAGTCTACACCCATGGAGGTTAGGGAGGTAATAAAATTCTGTTACCAACTTCCTTAGATAGAATTTTAACTCATTCTATGGAGATTAGCTCTGAGTCTGCTCTAGAACTTGCATTTACATTTTACTGGACTCCTCCAAAAAGATGTTTGGGCATTGAATTAATTGCCTATTGCTGCTATAAATAATTACCAGTGAATTACTGACTTAAAACAACACAAGTTTATTATTTTACAGTTCTGAAGGTCAGAAGTGTGCAATTAGTTTCACTGGGCTAAAAACGTGGTGTTAAATTTCTTCAAGAGGTTCTAGGGAAGGATCCTTTTCCTTACCTTCTTCTAGCATCTGAAGGCTGCCTGCATTCCTTGGCTCCTGGCCCATTTCTTCATCTTCAAAGCTAGTGGTACAGCATTTTCAAATCACTCTGATTCTGACTCTCTTCCATCTTTTAAGGACCCTTGTGATTACACAGTGCTGAATAATCCCACACAATAGCCTTATTTTAAGTTCTTTTTGAAAATCACATCTGTAAAATCTCTTTCGCCATGTAAGGTAAACATAGTTGCAGGTTCCAAGAGCTAGGCTGTAGATATCTATGGGCCTCATTATTCTGGCTACCATACAGGTAAACTTAACAATAAGTTCTCCCCTATCAAAATGTTTGGTCCCACATGCTATATTTGTTCTAGTTCAGGAGTTTTGAATGTTAGAATTATGAACGTAAGATAGAGATAACCAAATCCTGAAAATTAGAAGATGCTTCTTTGTAAAAGCAGAGACTACTTTAGGTAACTATGGGTAAATAAACTATTCATGAAATCATTATATTAAACAGCTCACTATATGGAAGGTGCCATCAGAATTCCATGCAATGCCTACTTCATTTTTGGAGGCTGATAAGTACTTAATTATCATTTTGACTTTGATTAACCTTGTCAATGTAAGACAGCTCGAAATGAGGCAGAAAATGAATAGCGTGCTTCAGGAGATAGAAAGGAGAAAGGAAGTTAGTTGTTCTTCCTGAAATTTACATGCTAGACACATATCTCTGTGAAGAAGTAATCCAATTCATAATTGGAATTAAATTGCTGTATATTTATTTTACTGACTTGGAAAATATACAAATCCCATTTTCACTACAATTGGGCATGCAATAAATGATGTCTTCTTTACGAACGGTTTCCTAGAGCAAATTCGCATTTTAGGATCTGTACTTTTTCTAGTACCCAACATTATTCATAGACAAGGTACAGGACCAGATGCTTGACATCTGATTGCCAGATCAACTAGGATTTTAAGCTTCTTAAGAAGAGGAGTCATATCTCCCATCTCTTTTATAGCTTTTGGTAGGTTAGGCATATAGTTTACATTTAATAAGTGTTGGTTGAATGGAGTGTAGAAAATTCATACTTTTCCATGGTGGATCATGGATCCTAATTTTTATAACTGATACAGCTCTGGCTAAACCAGAGACCTAGAAGATGGCTATTTCCCCAACTGTGTACTTTGCATACTTGATTAATTATGTCTAGACAGACGTAATTGCTTTACTCTTCCACTTGCTCCATTATGAGCAATCTAGAGATTCATTGGCTTTCTTACAGGAAAGATGGACAGTCCCATTGTGATCTGATTGTCTGGACCACTGTGTTCTGTTTTCCAGTGGTACTCATGAGGGTCCTGTTCCTGGTTCTCCACTGCTTCCTCTGACAATGCCACTTGTGGCCAGTAGAACCACCTCCTTCCTCTCCACATTCCTCACATTGGGCCAGACCCTGAACACTTATGCAGTTGGCTCACTTTAAAAGGAAGTGATAGAAAACAAGGAGAAGGAGTGAGAGCTGGAAGGGGGGTAGAGCAGGAAGTTAGGGGTGAATGGTAGGGGAAATGCATTGGCGATAATAAAAAGAGAAGATGCCAGGGAGAGGAGGCCTTCAGATGCAGGAAGTAGGTGAGAGGGAGGGAAGAACATAGAGCCTTACCTATTTTACCAGGGGCATCATTCTGGAAATATCTGATATTCCAGTTACAATTCATCAGTTTGGAAAAGGTTTCAGTCATATCTCCAGGATATCTGAGTTAGATGTAAAGAGTAAACCTGTTCAGGGATTTTTGGTTTTAAAGACATTTCAAATCTCTTTTTCAAAGTCACTATTTTAAAAACTCATTCATTCTTTTTATGCTGAATGATGCTTCTCCTCTTAGCCCTACTTGTGGTAGATGAACATTCCTATTTACTATGAAATTTCTTACTACGAAGTCCTTCACAAAGTTTTTCTTTTGAATTGACTTTAGCGGAGGTTCTCTTTACTCTTGAGATTCTGTGTGCTTTTCCTCATCTCTGTTCACTACATATTATTTTTTTTTCTCATCTTAATTACTTCTTTGATGTCTTGAGTTCAGTTTCTTTGTTTCCTTGCTGGTGTTTCCGTCTCTCAGCAAATCCCATTTGGGTTTCTCTTGAAACAAGTTCTTTAAGGTGAGTTTCTTAGTCTGTAGTGTAGAAAGTCCCTCCTGGCTTCTCTCCAGCCAGACCAGTCCTATAGGTTCCCTGAGAATAGACTCCAGCCCTCTCAGTTTCCACTGTCTTGTATGGTCCCTGCGTGCATAAGCCTTGATAGCTTTTTTTTTTTTAAGTACTTTTTTTAAAGTATTTTATTCAATTTTATTCATTGTCATTTTATTTTATTTATTTATTTATTTATTTTTTGAAGTTGACCAGAGAGAGACAGAGAGAGAAGGGACGTGAGAAAGCAAGCTGCCAGGTCCGAGACTCAAACCGTAGTCAGCCACATGGGAGTCCAGCCACCTTAACCACCATGCCACCTGCTGGCCCTGATAGCTTTTACTGCTTTCATTGGCCTCCAGCACCACCTTGTCCTTGCACCCTTTGGAGACTAATGAACTTGACCACTATCTTCCAAAGCCTTTCTAACTTCTGCAAGACAGAGGAGGGAAGAATTTATTATTCTCTTCCCAGGGGAAGAGGTTTCCAGAGGACCCATTAGTCTCAGGGCCTGCGCATGAATTTAGGAAAGTGAGGAAACTGAAGAATTGAAGAATTGGAAGAAACTGGCTCTGTCAGGTCTGAGGACTCACTGGATGCTCTGACAATTCACGGGGCTTGTAAGTGTTGTATAGAACTCATTGTCCTGCAAGGTGTTGGTCAGAAGACCGTGGTTGCTGGACATAATTGGTTGCTGGGCAGAATACTATGTGCTGGCAGATGAAAACATGAATAGAACAGATTCCTAGCCCTCACGAAACTCTCATTTCACCAGGAGGAGGTGCAGAATTATTCAACAAATATTTGCCGACTGGCTGCTTTGCTGTTGCTGCTGGGAATAAATAGGGCCAGGCGTGAGATGCTTTTTGTATTGTTTTCCTCTTGGAGTTGATAGTCTAGTTGGGACACAGAAAGACAAATGACTACAGTAGCAAGATAAATGTTGCTGTGATGTGGAAGCATGCGGATGGGTCAGTTAGTGAAGGATTCCAGGAAAGACTTCCCAGACTAAGTGGCATCTAACTAGAGAACTGAAGAATGAGTAGGAACATTGGGAGGAAGGAAATAATCAGGATACACAGTAATCAATGCCATTCCAGAGAGGGTTAGTGGGATCCTACAATAAAAGTAGCCAGGCAGGGTGGTCACATGTTTAAGAATTTAACTTTTGTCATTAAAACACTGCTATATGAGGGACTATTCTCTATTGAGGCAATTAATCTTCCTTTTCTGTTTGGAAAGGTGATATGCTTGATCTTTTGAAATGGAGAACCCACCCAGACAAGATCACAGGCTGTCTCTCCAAATTAAAAGACATCGATGGCTCAGAGATAGTAAAGGTAAACTCTTTTGTTACCCCTCTTAGAAATTCATAGAATGAAGAACATTTGGAGAGGAAAGACTAATAGTATTTTATTCATTCATTTCTTCTTTATCTAACAGTTTCTGCAAGATACACTGGATACCTTATTTGGAATTTTAGATGAAAATTCCCAAAAATATGGATCCAAAGTGTTTGATTCTTTGGTAAGTTCAAATTCACTTAAGATTAACAGTTTTGTCTCAACCTCAACTACTAGGGTTGCTTCAGAAACATGCTCTTCATAATGTAAGAGTGCATCTGAAAAAGAATGTTTTAGAATCTTGATTTGCATTCCATTTTATAAAGCTTAATTCTCCTTGTAGGTTCACATCATAAATTTGCTGCAAGATAGCAAATTTCATCACTTTAAGCCTGTAATGGACACTTACATCGAGAGCCATTTTGCTGGGGCACTTGCATACAGGTAAGGTGCTTTATCTTGTAAGTGGTTTAGAAGCAGTTCCTTTTAAGCCTTCCAAAGCAGAAGCAGCTATATAAGAAAATTTAAAAGGGAGTGTAAGAAGAAATGAAGCCCAACTGAAGAGTCTCTTGAGACTGTATCTTCCCTCTTCATATACCCTTTTATAATGGTTGGAATTTATTTTGATTAAAAAGGCAAGAAAAAAAAAGTTTCTGGGAAGTTCCTAAGTGTTCTTCTTGTGACCTCAACTGTACAGTTTTCCCGTCTGGACTTGACCTTACCTGATACCCTTTGGTCTAAAATGTCGAGTTATTTCACTTTGGCTGTAAGAACCCCATTTAATTACTACACTGCGGGGTGATATAAATATTGAGAAAGAAGTACAGATGGGAAGGCACCTTTGCCTTCATTCCTGGTTAAAGTCATTCACTGATTCATTCATCTGAGAGTATTTACCAAGTGTCCACTCATGCACTATATTATTCTTTGCACTGATAATGGGAAGACCTGTTCCCTGGCCTCAAGAGACTTAGTCATTGAAATCTACCCTTCGTTAGTGACTGCCATTTTTTTTTTCAGTTTATTTACTTATTTCTTATATAAAGAAAGAGAGAAAGATAGACACACAGAGAAATAGGCATCCCACACAGGGTCTCTATGCCATGATCTACCTCCAATTCCATCTGACCCATATCATGAGTACATAGTATGCTCAGGAAAGTTCCAGAACATGAACCTAGGACCTTTCCCTTGTGGGTCCAGTTGCATATTCACTGTACCACTGCCTGGCCCCAGTAGCTCTTATTTTGCTGCTCCTCTTTTCTTATCAGCTCAGATTATGCAACTAAGGTTAAGAGTGAATGCATATTGGGCCAGCAGATGGTGTAGCAATTACATCTCTGGACTCCCACATGGCTGACTGTCATTCAAGTCCTGGACCCAGTGGCTTGAAATTCATGCTGGGTGCATGTACGTGCATTCCCAAGATCCTGGGAGGAGAATGGAGGAAAAGGGATTGCAGTGTGTCCATCCCTCCTATGGGATGATTTCTCACTTTCTCTCTCACTGTCTCTCTCACTGGCTTTGTCTCTGCCACACCCCCAAGCACACATGCCCTAAGGCAAAAACCTCTAAAGAAAAAGAGTGCATGCATATTGTTATGCTTTAGCTGGTGCTGCCTGATGTCATTGTTGTGCAGTTGACATTTCTACCTCATATTTTATATACCTGTAAGTATGTATGTGCACAGCCATGTGTTTTGAAAACTGAGTGAAAAGAGCCTGGAATCTGGTTTTTATCTCCACTCACCCTATCTATGTGATATGTGATATATAAAGCATTAGCTAATCAAATGAGCATTTGATCCATTATCTTGGATATTCCTGACCATGGTATGTTAAGATTTATGTCTCTTTTTAAACAAGTGAAGATATTTTTGTAAGACTCAACCCTCTGTCCACATGATTTTTTGCTGAGGGCAAAATGTAACA